TGCTGACAGTTAAATGCATTTAAAAAATCTAGTTCTGAATGAAAGTATCTGATAATTTTATTTTGTTTTCTTAAAGATTTTATTTATTTATTCATGAGAGACAGAGAGAGAGAGAGAGAGGAGGTAGAGACACAGGCAGAGAGAGAAGCAGGCTCCATGAAGGGAGCCCAATGTGGGACTCGATCTTGGTGCCCCAGGATTACGCCCTGGGCTGAAGGCAGGCGCCAAACCGCTGAGCCACCCAGGTATCCAATGATAATTTTATTATAAGTTTATTCTTGGTAAGAAAGAAAGCTTTTCAAAAGTTTGAAGATTACCAGAGTTGAAAATTCACTATTTCCTAAACATAATAGAAAAACCAGGAATGATGAAAGAAACAGCTGATATATTTGCACTTAAAAAATCTGTAATAGCATAAACTTTGTTAAAAGAAAAATGACAGACTTGGCAATATATTTGTAACATACACAGCAGGCAACAGTTATTTAATCCACTTAGAAAAATAACAAAATGGGCAAAGAACAAGAACAGATGAGTCACAAGGGAAGGAATATAAGGTGCTGGTAAATATGTGGATAGATAGTCAGCCATGCTTATAATTCAAGAAATACCAGTAAAAGAAGTACCCAGAATTTTCAAATGTGTGGGAAATGGGCATTCCCAGGTATCATTTGGTGTAAGTTTAAGTGTATACAGACACTTTTAGAGATAATTTGTAATATATATCAAAATTATAATTGCATATCCTCCAGTTTAGCAGTTCTGCCTTTGAGAATTTATCCCCAGGAAAAATTGGGATACATGTACAAAGATACACATGAAGGTACCTGTTCTAATAGTGAAAACTGACCTAAATATTTATCAGTAGTCATAAATAAATTATTCAATATCTATACATTGGAATTTTACGGCAGGCATAATTTTTTCCTCATTTTTTAATTGTTGTAAAATACATCTTACATTTACCATCTTAACTATTTTTCAAATGTATAGTCAGTGGCATAAAGTACATATGTTGTTGTGCAAACATTACCACCATCCATCTCTAGAACTCATTTCATCCTGTAGAACATGAATCTTCATATCTGTTAAACAGTGACTACCCATCCCCAACCCCCACTTTTTCCAGGTCCTGGCAGCCTCTCTCCTACTTTCTGCATCTATAAATTTGACTACTCTAGATACCTCATGTAAGTGGAGTCATATAATATTTGTCTTTTGTGACTGATTTATTTAGCACAATCAAGTTTCCTTCGTGTTGTAGCATATTAGAATTTCACTCTTTTTTAAGTTTGAAATATAGACATTTTTTAAATTTAATTTTTGAGTGGGTAGTACTTCTATTTAGTTCAAATTCAAGAGGAAGGTTGGGAGGAGAGAAGATGGGAAGCGATTGCTAAATGCATAGGATTTCTCTAAGGGGTGATGGAAGTGTTCTAGAATCAGTAGTGTTTGATGTAGAACTTTCACTATGTTGAAAACCACTGAATTGTACACTTAAAACAGGTGAGCTCTATGGTATGTGAATTTTATTTCAGTAAAGCTGTTACTAAAAAAATTTTAATGTCAATTATATTTCAGTTAAAAAATTTAACTGAATTTACAAAGGAATAGAATAAATTTCTAGTAAAGTCTTTTTACAAGTTGTCTCTCAACTACTCTAGTTTTACTTTTTAAAAAATTTTTTTTTTGTTTTTTTATTAGAGAGTTAGTTAGGGAAGGGCAGAGGGAGAGGAAGAGAGAGAATCCCAGGCAGGCTCCACACCCAACATAGAGCTAATTGCAGGGCTCGATCTCATTATCCTGAGATCATGACCCAAACTGAAAGTAAGAGTTAGATGCCCAACCGAGTCACCCACAGGCCCTCTAGTTTTACTTTTTTTGTTGTTTTTTAAAGATTTTATTGGCAACCCGGGTGGCTCAGTGGTTGAGTGCCACCTTCAGCCCAGGGCCTGATCCTGGAGACCTGGGATCAGGATCGAGTCCCACATCAGGCTCCCCACATGGAGCCTGTTCCTCCCTCTACCTTGTGTCTCTGCCCCCGCCCCCCATGTCTCTCAGGAATAAATAAATAAAATCTTAAAAAAAAAAGAAAGATTTTATTTACTCCTGAGAGACACACACAGAGAGAGAGAGAGACCAGAACACAGGTAGAGGGAGAAGCAATCTCCCTGTGGGGAGCCTGATGTGGGACTCGATCCCAGATCCCAGGATCATGACCTGAGCCAAAGGCGGACGCTCAACCACTGAGCCACCCAGGCGTCCCCAGTTTTACTTTTTTACTTTTATTTTTTTTCAGTTTTACTTTTTTAAAAAAATTATTTCTTGTGTATCTTTTCAGAAATATTTTTATTTCTTATAAGTTGTTTTTTATTTATAGTAAATAGTAAATATTCCTCCCTTTTAATGTAAGTGATAGTAAATTGAACATGTTGTTCTGCACCAAAGCAGACATCTCTGAGGTCTGTTTCTTTTATTTTTTGGTAAAAAGGTTTTTTCTTTAAATTATAAAATTATAACATGGTTAGTTAGTATAGAAAAGTACGAAGAGAAATGTAAGAGCTATCCATACCCAGAGATAGTTATTGCTAATTGTTTATATTCTTTTACACTTTTCTCTGCATGTATATATACTCTTTTAAAAATTAGAATTGAGATCATCCTAAACTTGATATTGTGAAGTCTGCTTTTTTACACTTAATATATTATGACCATAGTTTTCAAGCAGTAAATATAAATCTGCATTGGTTTTTTTTTTTTTTACGGTTGCATAGTATTAAACTATGTGGGCATTTCTCATTTACTCATCATCTATTAATATCTGTTTAGGTTTTATCTAATTTTGTCACTATGATAAACAAGAATGAGTATCTTTGTATGTACACCTTTGTACCCTTGCCAGATAATTTGAGATGTTTACTACCCTGCTATTTTGCAGTCTGCCAAATTTTTTCAATATGTTTTTGAAATATAAACTACAAAGATTTCCACAATATTATTAACTCTGAAAAGATGGTGCAGGTATTTAAATCCTTATTTACTTTTAAATATGAGGAAATCTGAAATGCAGAAAGTGGCATTGCGTCTAACATTGCATAGCAGTTAGTGTGAGAGCTGGCACTAAAACTCATGTCTTCTGATTGTAGGTTAGTGTTTTTTCCACTGTTGCACACTGCCAGTCCTTAAATACCTTCAATACAAGGAGTGATTTTGTTGTTGCTTCTTCATTTTTAAAAATATGATTCTTGTGATACACTTTTAAAATCCTTGTATAATGTGCTGCAGTTTTCCATTCAGATTAAAGGTTCATATACCTTCATTGGGGAGTACAGGCTAAAGATATGCCCTCCCAGACATTTTGTAGTTTATCTGCATTAACATCTTCATGTAATTGTTAATCTATTTTGTTATCTTTGTATGAAAAGCTCAGGAAAAAAAAAGTTCTATAGTCTGTCCTCTTCCCCTCCCCGCCCCTTTTGAAAGCTTGAAGTTATTTTGTCTGGGTAGTATGAGTTTCAGTTGGGCTGGGGGAATAGCTTTGGTTTCAGTGACAGCTCCATCATTTACTGTGTGATCTTGGGCAAGTTACTTAAATCTCTGTAAGACTAGTGTCATCATCCATAAAATCAAAATAATAGTACATGTGTCATGAAGATTAAATGAATTAACACATAAAAAGTGCTTGGCACAATTTGGCATATAGATACTACTCATTAAACATTAGAATTATTTAATGTGTGAATTTAAGTCCTTAAAAGTCATTTTGTGTTTTGATATCCTTTGTATTTTTAAATTTTTTTTGTTTTATTTATTTATGATAGGCACACAGTGAGAGAGAGAGAGGCAGAGACACAGGCAGTGGGAGAAGCAGGCTCCATACACCGGGAGCCCGACGTGGGATTCGATCCCGGGTCTCCAGGATCGCGCCCTGGGCCAAAGGCAGGCACTAAACCGCTGCGCCACCCAGGGATCCCCCTCCTTTGTATTTTTTTTTTTAATTTTTATTTATTATTTATGATAGTCACAGAGAGAGAGAGAGAGAGAGAGAGAGGCAGAGACACAGGCAGAGGGAGAAGCAGGCTCCAGGCACTGAGAGCCCGACTTGTGATTCGATCCCGGGTCTCCAGGATCGCGCCCTGGGCCAAAGGCAGGCGCCAAACCGCTGCGCCACCCAGGGATCCCCTCTGTATTTTTTGATGAAACTTTTTTTAAAACTTTTAATTTTTTATTATTTATTTATTTATTTTTAAGATTTTATTTATTTGTTCATGAGAGACAGAGAGAGAGAGAGAGGCAGAGACACAGGCAGAGGGAGAAGCAGGCTCCATGCAGGGAGCCCGATGTGGGACTTGAACCTGGGTCTCCAGGATCACACCCTGGTCAAAGGCAGGCGCCAAACCACCGAGCCACCCAGGGATCCCTGATGAAACGTCTTAAAAAAATTTGAGACAAAGCATACACAAACATGAGACAGAGGGAGAGGGAGAGGGAGAGGGAGAGAGAGAGAGAGAGAGAGAGAGAGAGAATTTCAAGCAGACTCCTTGCTGAGTGGGTTATCTTAACTGGATCTCACAACCCTGAGATCATGACCTGAGTTGGATGGTCAATTGACTAAGTCATCCAGACACCCATTTCGATTAAACTTTTATATGATGTATTTGTATTCCTGTAGATTTCCTCTTCTTCTTTCCTCCCCTCCCCTTTAATTCTATGTAATACATTCTATTGATTTGGAATAATATATTTTGTCATGGCTTATGCAAAAGGAGGAGCTGCCATACTTATTTCCTGTTGGGAGTAAACACATGTTAAGTAACTGAGATTTTATAGATTATCTCAATCATTTTTTAAGACAATGTAAAACAGTATAATGTGAATCCTAATTTATTCAGGGTTCTGAGAGCCGTGGTAGCTACTCTGTGGCTTCCCCAATCTGCTTCTTTTTTTTCTACTTGAGGAGGAAAGCTGATTTGGGTTTTTCTCTTTTGTCTTGGTTCTAGCACATGCAAATGACAATCCAGGCTCTCCAGGATGAATTGCGGATCCAGAGGGACTTGAACCAGCTCTTTCAGCAAGATAGTAGCAGTAGGACTGGTGAACCTTGTGTGACAGAGCTGACTGAGGAGAACTTTCAGAGGCTACATGCTGAGCACGAGCGGCAGGCCAAAGAGCTGTTCCTCCTTCGAAAGACTTTGGAGGAAATGGAGCTGCGTATTGAGACTCAGAAGCAAACCCTAAATGCTCGGGATGAATCCATCAAGAAACTTCTGGAGATGTTGCAGAGCAAAGGGCTTTCTGCTAAGGCTACTGAAGAAGACCACGAGAGAACAAGACGACTGGCAGAGGCAGAGATGCATGTGCACCACCTAGAGAGCCTTTTGGAGCAGAAGGAAAAAGAGAACAGTATGTTGAGAGAGGTGAGTGACTGATTTTTTGGTTGTTAAGACTTACTGATTGTCTTTTTTTCCCACTGATTAGTCAGCATCTTGGCTTAGATAAATTTATATGTTCTACTGAGTTAGTGGAGAGAATTTCTTCTTTGGTATTTAAGTGCTTCACTGATTTCTATTCTGATTTGCTCTCTTGCACGAAATGGCATTGACTGGTATATATAATGGCTTACTAACTTTCTGGGTCTCTGCCAGCCCCCTATTTGGTTTCTGTATACTCACTTTGTTGCTAGAGGGGCACAGAATATTCGTTGTTACTCACTTCTTGATGTGTTCATAAAACCAGAATTTTATGAACAAAACCAGAATCAGAGTATCTATTATTTAATTTTAGAATATATTTTTTTAAGATTTTATTTATTTATTTATAGAGACACAGAGTATGAGAGGCAGAGACACAGGCAGAGGGAGAAGCAGGCTCTATGCAGAGACCCCGACATGGGACTTGATCCAGGGTCTCCAGGATCACGCCCCGGGCTGCAGGCGGCACCAAACCGCTGCACCACCGGGGCTTCCCAATTTTAGAATATTTCTAAGAGAAAGTAAGTGGTTACCTCAGTTTAGGTGTTCTTGTATAGTCCTTGGCAGTAGTAATGGATGTTTGCCCTGTGGTTTCCATGGAGACTTGTTTTGCTATTAAAGATATATAGTAAAAATCATTTGCTGCCATGGAGGCACAGTGAGAAAGAATGATATAGAGACACACTGCATTTCCTTTTTATAGAGGAAACTCAGACTTTAGCTGACCACTGTGACTGTTGATAATTTTTCACTTTTTTAGATAATGATTGATTTCAAGAAATTAAAAATGAAAAATTCATCTTGCATTAAAAAGTTGACAGCTATAATTCTCTATGTGTGATCAGAGACTTCAGCCATTTGGGTAAGGAAAAAAAATCTCAGAACGTGTTAGTACCAGACTAAATGAAATAAGAGGAAAGAGATTAAAAAATGGAATATTCCCAGAATAGCAAAATAGCAACTTTAAGAGGATATTTCTAATTTTGAAGTTCTATAACTTTTCCTTTTGTAAAAAATCTGAAATATTTTGGGGATCCCTAGGTGGCTCAGCGGTTTAGTGCCTGCCTTCGGTCCAGGGTGTGATCCTGGAGTCCCGGGATCAGGTCCCACATCGGACTCCCTGCATGGACCCTGCTTCTCCCTCTGCCTGTGTCTCTGCCTCTCTCTCAGTCTGTGTCTCTCATGAATAAATAAATAAAATATTTTTTAAAAATCTGAAATATTTATTAACAGTGAGGACATTTTAGTTTTGATAAAGGGGAAATTCTGAATTTTTTAAAAACATGATTCTGTTACACAGTAAATTCACTGTAGGTTATTGTAGTAAAATTAGAAAATAGATTAGCGAAAAATAAAAATCCCAGGTATCATTACTTAGTGATAACTATTGTGTGTGTACATGCGTATATATATATACATATACATACAATGTATATAATTGTGTGTTGTATGTATATATTGTTCATACTTATAATGCATAATATACATATGTGCAATATATATACTATATATGTATAAGTGATCGTTTTTATTATGTATACATTCTTTCTTTTCTTTAGAAAGATAGAATACTAGGGGTGCCTGGGTGGCTCAGTAGGTTTACTGTCTGACTTTTTTTTTGTTTTAAGATTTTATTTATTTATTCATGAGAGATACACAGAAAGAGGCAGAGACACAGGCAGAGGGAGAAGCAGGCTCCCTGCATGGAGCCTGATGCAGGATTCAATCCAAGAGCCTCGGGATCACTCCCTGAGCCAAAGGCAGATGCTCAACTACTGAGCTACCCAGGTGCCCCAAGCATCTGACTCTTGTTTTTGGCTCAGGTTGTGTGCTTGGTGGGGAGTCTGCTTGGGATTCTCTCTTTCTACCCCATCCCACCCTGCATGTGCTTGCTTGTGCTCTCTCTCTCTCAAATGAGTAAGTAAATCTTAAAAAGATATAATGCTATCCATTAGTATTGTCTGATATTACTTTCTGTGATGATGAAAATGTTTTGTATCTGTTTGTTCATTATGGTAGCCACTAGTCACATGTGCCTATTGAGCCCTTGAAATGTGGCTACTGTGACTGAGGAACTGAATTTTAAATTCTATTTAAATATAATTAATCAATTTTAAAGTATCTACATGCAGCTAGTGGCTACTATATTAGTGCATGTATGTATAAGGCAATGTCACCCACTTTTCTTAATAATTTGTTTTGACCACCTTTCTTTTGTCAGGTACATGTAGAATTTTATAATTTCAGATGAATTTATAAAGTTCCATTATATTTATTTGAACACCTTTTAATGTTGAAAATTTAGACCATATTATATTTTTAGTATTATAAAACTGTATGTCACTGAATGTCATTAAATTTTGTGTTTAGGATAAATTCGAAGAAATTAATTTGCTTAAACTGTGTGTACATTTTGAAACTGAATAATCTTAACTTCCAGAGTGATTGGACCAGTTTATCTTCCCAGCAGCATAGAATGTGTTTACTTTACTTTATGGCCTGGCCATAGAACACTGTTAGAGAAGTTGTAATAATCTTAGCATGCAATATGAAATCTATGTCAGTATTGTGAATTTTGAATATTATGTTTATAGTGCTTCTGTTCTGAATATCTTGAGATATGCCCATTTATTTATTTAAAATTTTATTATATTATTTATTTTATTTAAAATTTTATTTTATTTCTTTTCTTAAAGATTTATTTATTTAGGGACATCTGGGTAGGTCAGTGTTGAGCATCTGCTTTTGGCTCAGGGCGTGATCCCAGGATACCAGGATTGAGTATGTATCAGGCTCCCCACAGGGAGCCTGCCTCTCTCTATGCCTATGTCTCTGCTCTTGCTCTCTCTCATGAGTAAATAAATAAAATCTTAAAAAAAGGATTATTTATTTGAGAGAGCACATGAGCAGGATGGGCAGAGGGAGAGGGAGTGAGAATCTGAAGCAGGCTCTGCACTGAGTACAAGCTTCATGTGGGGCCCGATCTTATGACCCTGAGATCATAATGTAAGCTGAAACCAAGAGTCGGAGGCTTCACTGACTGAGCCATCAGGCACTGTTATTTATTTAAAATTTTAAACTGAAGTAGAGTTGACATACAATGTCATGCTATTTTCAAGTGTACAATATTGATGATTTGATAGCTCTATATATAATGAGCTATGCTCACCAACAAGTGTAGCTACCATTTGTCAACGAACAATGCTATTACAGTACTATTGACTATACTTCCGATGCTGTATCTTTTATCCTTGTGATTTATTCATTTCATAACTGGAAGCCTCTATCTTCCACTTCCTTTTACCCATTTTGCCCATCCCCCTGACCCATCTCCTCTCTTGCAACCATCAATTTGTTTTCTATATTTACAGGACTGTTTCTGCTTTTTGCTTTTTCATTTTTTTTTTTTTTTAGATTCCACAGATAAGATCATATAGCATTTTTCTCACTTTATCTCAGCATAATACCCTCAAGGTCTAACCATGTTGTCATAAGTGGCGAGATCACATTCTTTTTTATTGTATTTAATTTTGAGTTTTGGAGTTAATAGGTGGTGAATAGTTAAGGATTGTAAAAAGCTACATTGGTATTCTGGCAGAGAATATGATATCAATCAGATATGATGAATTTGAAAAACTAGTGGGAAAGAAAAATGAATTTAAGACCAATTTTCAAATAACAAGCTCTACAAATATTAAGTCCTGCTTATGTATGTAATGTAGAAAGAAATATAGGCCTTGTCAGTCATACCAACACACAATTCCAGTTGCCATTAGTAACAGCATCATTTTATAGGAGAAACAGTCATGTGAATTAAAATTATTTAAGAGCAAGTGGAAATGATTGCTTCAGAAACAAATGTTATTCTTTTTCTTAAAGATTTATTTACTTATTTTAGAGAAAGAGAGCATGAGTGGGGGAGGCAGAAGGAGTAGAGTGAGGGAAAGAAGCAGATTCCCTACTGAGCACGAGGCCCTAAGCAGGGCTTGATCTCACAACCCTGAGCAAAATCAAGAATCAGATACTTAACTGGCTGAGCCTCCCATGTACCCCCGGAACCAAATGTCAAAAAAAAAAAAAAAAAAAAAAAGAAAGAAAAAAAAAGAAAAATGTTTGGCATTCTTGTTTTCTTTTCTGTTTCTCCTATTTACCTTCAAGACTTAGATCAAATTTCAGTTCTTCTGTAAAGTTTTCCTTGTGCAGCTCTATACATATATGTAGATGAACCAAACATATTATAATGTATTTATATTTACATGTATGCTTCTTCCTTATTCACTTAATCTTTTACATCAAAGATAAATTTTAAAAAAGATTTTATTTATTTTTATTTTTTGGGAGGAGAGTGTGTGAGTTTGGGGGGTTGAGGATAGGTGAAGTGGCAGAGAGAACCTTAAGCATGGAGCCTGATGTGGGGCTTAATCTCAGGGCCTTGAGATCATGACCTGAGCCAAAATCCAGTCAGACACTTAACTGACTGAACCATTCAGGCATCCCACCAAAGATAAATGTTTTATAAAATTTGCTTTATTTTGCAAATTTTATTTGCAAAATTTTATAAAGTTTGCTTTATAAAACCTTTATTTTGCTTGTGTCTAACAAGTACATAGTGGGTACTCAAGAAATGTTAGTTGAATAAGTTGAAATGTAGGTAAAAAACTTAAACCTGAAACTTATAGGAAGTATAGTGTTTTGAGGTTTTTCCCCCTGGTGTGACCACTAGGTACTAAAACCTGATGAAGGTTTCAAAACAAATTAAATCCCAAAGCTAGTTTTGCTTATGAGTTCAGTTATATGTATTATAAATAAAATATTAGCAGAGAGAGTCAGCATTATGATTAAATGATAAGACTCCAATCAAAAGGAGTTTATTCCTGGAATACCAGAATGCCTCAATATATCATACACAGTTATAATTTGTATTAGGTAAAAGGAATAGTGAACCT